AAACGTACCGCTAATGACGGGAGAAGAATAGCTAAACATACTGCACTCGGAGCAAACGACAGGAGCCATAGTGATATACTTACGTTTAGCGGGGAATTAATCCGTTGTGGATTTGGAAGATTATCAGGAGACTATTAAGCTTGCCAAGATTTATCCGATTGCTTAATTATAACTCTAAGTATTATTTGGGTTATAGTTATAGTTATAGTTTAAAAGTTTGCGCGGTAGCAACCAGTCTCGCTCACGCAGGAAACAGCACACAGGAAACAGCAAACAGGAAACACCATAAATAGTTACACCTATTTTATTTGTTTTTTCTTTTATTTAAAGACAATATCAAATGGGTTTCCTTTATACAAAACAAAGTTTTATGCTTCATCACAAAAATAAACAAGGGTAAAAAAAAACATATGGTTTCACTTATTTGCTGTCAATATTAAGTATGAAAATAATTATTTTACATTTTAAATAAACTTTAAAATAGACTGCTTCAGTCCATTTTTAACAAACATAAAATACCACCTAATATTGAATTGATTCAAAATGTGTTTATAGTACTGTTTCATTTTTAAAATACAGAAAAGATGTTCCCTTCAAATTTTGCCAGCTTTACTAGAGCATGTCACTTCATCTTCTTCAGAAAACTGTACTAACGGCCATAAAATATGTACCTAATATGCAAAATAATAAAGATTTCTCTGACTTCTGCAAAACAATCATTTTCAACATTCTCCACAACCCATGCAACAAACATTTTTATTGGTACAGTCAAAGGTTTTTCCATACATCTTTCATATTTTAAATACTAATGATACCCACATGTGGTTAGTTACTGGATGCAGTTTTTCTCAACAGGTTATTTTTAAGTAATGGCAGCAAATATTCAGTAGTTTCCTAAACAGGATACTGCCTACAATTTCATTCCATTATCTGGACAGAAAATGGTAGTACATTCATTAGCTAACTGACTTGATATTAAAACAATTAAATATAAAGGATATAAACTTCACATTTGTTCCGTCATTCTGCACAGCTGCCTGGAATTATACTATTAATATATAAACCAAAGCTGTTTTAGTTGTCAAATGATATGACAAGCTAAAAGGGAAAAAAATGAAACTACATGCGTGTTACAATTCAGGATCTCAATATGACAAAATACTCAAAGTAGTTTATTACTACAATCAAAACTTAAGCATGCTGCGTTCAACATCTTTGAGCTAAGAAATAAGTTAAATGCATATGTTACGTACAGTTTACATCCTGTGATAAAACGGTGATCAAATGGTCAAAAACAACTAAGCAACATAAACATTATAAACTGAATACCAGAAAGTAAGTTTTATATTTAAAGAACGTATACTTGGATATACACAAGCTGGAGCTGTGTGAAAAGCAAAACAAAACCTTTAAGATTCCAAAACCCATTCCTATAACAGACTGTTCAGCAGATCTATTAGGTTCTTGCTTTGCCAAATCACCAATGAAGAAAATAAAGCATAATTAGGTGGGACCTGTTGTCTTCCACACTGGTGTAAGGCACGTTCAGCTGTCTGTTACCTCCAGCTCAGTTTCCCTTTCTGGATACAGTTTGTTGTAAGTATCGACCATTACGTCCAAGTCATACTTAATATCATAATTGATGTTAAGCAGTGCCAAGCTCTTGGACCTTTGGTTGATGGGTGTGTCTGCAAGGTAGGCATTCATTCGCTTACGGGCTGTCTCACACTTGGGACTTTCAAGTCGCAGGACTGGCAATGTGCACAGGACTTTAAGAAAGGCATGGACATTAGGGAAGAACTTCACCTCTGACAGCTGGAGTGTTTCCTGGATAGTGGAAGGCAAGCTTATCTCCTTACCTCTGTGCTTCCATTTGATCCTCCAACAGTGTAACTCTGCAGGGAGTGTGTCTGGGTTGGGTAGGTCATTCCGGTACATGTCCGCATTATTCTCTTCAGATGTATTGAACTTCAGCTGCCTCATGACTGCAGGAACTAAGGAAAGGCACTTGAGAGCCTTTAAGTGATTCTCTGAAAAGACCTCCTTTAGTTCTTGCATGACATGCCCAACCACTGGAATGGTCAAGTGCTCTTTAAAGTAGCCCTCTGGCTGGATGTCTACTGTGACTTCTGCACGTTGCTTCCGGAAATACAGTCGGGGAACCTTCACTGAAATCTCCATGGCAGCAGCTAGGTTAACTGCTTCTTCAAACCAGAACTCATGGTACACCTCAATGTTATCCAAAACTTCATTCAGTGAATGCAATACAGCTGTCAAACTGTTGGCAGCAAAGTACACATCCAGAGTCATTCCTTGCAGGTTCTTTCCAAATGCTCTTGTGAAGGACAGGGCATTTTTCAGCACTACTAACGTCACTACAAATTCAAAGTCTGACAGAGCTTCAGAAATTATATACGCATCGTTGGCTAACTGGTCGCTCCATCTGCAGTCCTCATTGTCGTGAATACTGTCCATGCACAGCAAAATGGATTCTAGTAAGTCTACTGCCAAATCAAATATATCATGTCTCTCTGTCCATTTAAGACGACAAGCCTCTTTGAGATCATTGGCCTTCTCATTGTTGCCCTGGTAGAATATGGAAATGGCATGCTCTAACTCAGTTTGTAATGAAGGTGATCTGCTGAAAAATGAGTCTACCTTTTTCAGTGTTGACATAACAACTTGCACTCTACTCAGGGGCAAACTGTTAGCCAGATAAACATTGAGTGCACAAGTAGAACAGGGAGTATATATTGCCATGGGATACTTCTCCATCAGTTTAGCTGCAATACTTTTGATCTTTCTAACAAATACACCAGAGGCAACATGGGCTTGACCACGGCAACACTCCATGTCTAGACCCCACTTCTCAATGATTAGGTTTACCAGCTTCCCAGTGAGGACCTCCTCATCCTCTTCAAAAGGCAGAAATTCTATGAATTCCTCACGGAGGCAGCTGTTACTGTCAACAAAGCGAAGGAATATGGGCAGGTAAAGCCCCTCAGGAAACTGGACCAAATCACCAGTGACTATTGAGAAGAATCGCCCATCTCTGGCCTCATGGAGCAGTTCTTCACGGACACATCCTTCACATACCTCAAGCATCTGTGCCTGCTGGGTGAAGGGGCAGTACTCAGCATTCACAGCTGTGGTTTCAAATCTTTTCCTCAGTACTTCATCCCCTGCATTGATGCGATATTCCAGCAAGGCTTGAAAATTGCTTGGTGTGAAACATTCACTCTTCTCTTCGTTTTCTACATGAAAGTTTAATGGGATGTTCTGCTTTCCAGTAACAATAATAATTTCAAAAAGGGATTTCAGGTAATCCCTCAGCTCTTTTTCCTCTGCAGTTAACAGAGGGATATCCTCATTGTTCTTCCTCATCTCTTCCTCATCTTCACCTGTTACATTTTCATTTCTAATTTGTGGTTGTTCAACAGCATCTTCCACTGGCATAGTGAGGAGGAGGAAGAGGACGAGAGAGAGTGAGCAATCAAGCAACTTGATGTGTTCATTATATACTATAGTTTATATTTAAATGATGAAAACTTACACCGCCTCTCTTTTATCTTCCTGATTTCCTCTTCAGTCTGTTTAAAAATAATGTATGTCCATCATATTCAGTTCTTTTAAAAAACAAGCAGTCCTAAAAATGCTTGTCCATTAGAATGCATAGAAATAAAGCATTCGAATAAGCAGAAAAAAGATCAGAGGAACAAAAACAAATTTAAACACTTACTAGTTCTTTAATTCGTTTTCGGTGTCTGCTGTGTGGATTGTTCAAATGGCTGGTCAGGTCAAAAATGGTGGGAATGGCTGTATCTTTAAGTACTGTCCGATATGGGCTCTGGAACACATACAAGATTAAATTTATTAATCCTAGATTCTTTATATATCAGGGTAGAGCACAAAGGCAGTCACCCATTTCTAGAAATTATGTCATTGAGATTTACACAAGTCAACACGGCCACAGTGCAATGGCTGAACCTCGCCTTAGATGAGCTACGTTTGTAATCTCCTGTCAGGTAATTGTCATGCAAAGCCTTAAAACATAGTAAAACTGTCATTAGGGTGAAATCAACAAGCAATACTTACTCCGACATTCAAAGTTTGGGGTCACTTAGAAATTTCCTTGTCTTCCATGAAAACATACATGAAATGAGTTTGAATAGGAAATATAGCTAAATAAATAGGAAATGGTCATTGACAAAGTTAGAAATATTTTTTTTTATTAAAATAATTGTGTTTTTCAAACTTTGCTTTCATCAAACAAGTCTTCCATTTGGAGCAATTACAGCCTTGTAGACCTTGGGCATTCTAGATGTCAAATTGTTGAGGTAATCTTGATGAGATTTTATCCCGTGCTTCCTGAAGCATCTCCCACAAGTTGGATTGGCTTGATGGGCATCTCTTAGGTATCTTTCGGTCAGGCTGCTCCTATAACAGCTCAATAAAGTTGTGATCCGGTGACTGCTGGCCACTCCATTATACGCACACAATACCAGCTGAGTGCTTCTTCCCTAAATAGTTCTTGCATAGTTTGGAGTGGTGTTTGGGTCACTGTCCTGTTGTAGGATGACCATGGCACATGGTGCCATCCGCAGGATATAGTACGGCCTTGCAAAATGAAGTGATACCCTTCCTTCAAGACCCATTTTAGCCTGTATAAATCTGCCACTTTACCTTCACGAAAGCAGCCCCAAGACTGCCTCCACCATGCTTGACAGATGTTGTCAAGCACTCCTCCAGCATCCTTTCATTTTATCTGTATCTCTCAAATGTTCTTCTTTGTGATCCAAACACCTCAAACTTAGATTTGTCTGTCCATAGCACTTCCCCCCCCCCAATCTTCCTCTTTTCAGTGCCTTTGTTCATTTGCCCATCTCAGTCTTTTATTTATATTTCCCATTCTGAGATATGTCTTTTTTGTGGGTACTATTTAATGAAGCTGCTAGCTTCATTATTTTCTGTTTCCAAAATAAAAAGTGGTGTTCCTAAAGAAGTTTTGCTGCTGAATTCAAATCTGACTTCAGTTTCTTTCCAGCACGTACAGTTTTTGAGAAAAATGGAAATGAAATTTTGTATAGTTAATCTATAACACTGCACAACCTTCTTTTTTTCTTTTTTTAAAGTTCTACTTCCTGAAAAGTTTTTACTGATTGCGACAAGTACCTGGTGGCTAGGCACAAATATATTTTTGGTTTTGCTGCAACACTAAGGAACTCTCAGAAATAGACAGGTAACTGTGTACTGGCAATAACGTATTTAATCGGGTTTATGTTTCTCATACAATATTAAGTTTAACATAATTAGAAGTGTTTTGCTCTTGATTTTCATTCGTATTCAATGTCAGGTGCATCACGTTGCAGTGTCCAACAGTAGTAAGCAGAAATATTTGTACCTGGTGACAGCAAACACCATTCTGTAACACCTAAATTTCTCATTCGTGGGATAATAAAAGGTTTATTCTATTCTATTCTATTTCTGCAGTCTCTAACCAGATCGTTTAATTCTGACTTTTATGAGTTGTGGATCACCTGATGAGCACGGTTCAAAATTCAGATCATTGTCACTGCCAGTTCCCTGCATTGCAGTTTCTTCATCTGCTTCGTCTAAGGTACATTCCTCTGGTGGTTTTGGAATTGGAAGACTGTTGTCATGTGGCACGGGTCTCATTGCTAAAGGCAGATTAGGGTATTCAACTGACTTCTTGTTTTTAGCACAGAAACCAGATACATTAAACAGAAGTAACAGTCCGTCACATGGTCTTTCTGTTCTTGTCATATCATCGGGACAGCAAACAGCATTGCCTTTCGAGTGCCTCTGAGCCAGGCTCTTGTCGCACAACAAATGTGAGGCATCCATTCCTTGTCTCGATCATCGATTTTATAGCCGAGGTACAGATGATATGCTTTCTTCACAAGAGTAGTCACTAAGCATCTCTAAGGTGCAAGCATATATTCACCATAAATATAGAAGAATCTTATGACATTGACGAGACATATCGACCGACACTAATCATACTGCAAACACCTATAGCATCTAGCTTACTTATTACATTGCTACTGAGGCAATGCTATATTCTGAAACAATACATACACACTATCAGGTCTTTATTAACCCAATGAGCAGCATCTGTGTATGCAAGCCACTTTTATAGCCTGCTGCCCAGGCTGCAAACTTCCACAGAACAGCTTCCAACCTGGCCTTTTTACATTTCACATTCCCAGACTGTACAAAACATTGTTAATGTTTCTTAATGAAATGAAAAATTTTGGACACAAAAATAAGAAAAATACATAACAAAACTGAAGATTTCGATGAAACGGTACGTAATGGGCAAATTTGGATGCGATTTTACATTTACATTTACAGCATTTGGCAGACGCCCTTAGCCAGAGCGACTTACATTAAGTGCTTTAAGACTCTACAATGAATTTTTCCCGATACTAGCTCAATAATTTTTCATGCCAAAAATCTATAAGGAACACCCAACAGCAAAAACTTTGTTGTGCAGTGTTATGGTTAGAGTCAGTTTGTGCTGCTCCGTGTGAAGGGAGTAGTACATAGCATTGTACGAGATCTTCACTTTCCTGGTAATTTCTCAGACAGAATAGCCTTCATTTCTCAGAACAAGAATCTTCTGAGACTCATCAGTATAAAGTTTTTTTTTTCTGTCCATTTTGAGCTTGAAATCGAACCCACAATTACTGATGCTTCAGATACTCACCTAGTCCAAAGAAAGCCAGTTTTATTGCTTCTTTTATTTTATTTTCATCTGTGTCAACATAATTGGAAAAAGGTCTTCTAATGAAAAACTTTTTAAACCTATGTAGATATTCCATTAAAAACAGCCGTTTCCAGCTATGATAGTGATTTACAAAATTAACAATGTCTACACAGTTTTATTATGTATTCTAATGGACAAAAAACTTTTTTTTTTCCCTTCACAAGGAAATTTCTAAGTGACCCCAAACTTTTGAATGGGTTCCTTCTCTTATTCTACCTGTAAAGAGTTTTCATAAATTTAAAAATTAAATTTACTATGATGCTCAGCAAACAAATATTCACCCTGAAGGTGAAGTCTAGAGAGAGGTGTTACCTTTATTCAACATATCAATTCCCTACACATCTATACAGGCAAAGAAAATTGTAATACATTGTGAAAACATAAAACATTAGGGCTGTAACGGTACATGTATTCGTTCCGAACCGTCACGGTACATGGGTCACGGTTCGGTACATGATGTCGTACGGAGAATACGCGGTACGGCGGAGAATACGCGATTAAAGCAATGCGGAACTAAATTTACAAGCATGAGTTTCATACGGAAACATTTAACAGCGACCTTTAAAAAGTTTAGCTTCAAGCTGATTCGCATCTCGTGAAAGCGCTCATAACATGGCTACTGAAAACGGTACAGATGAGCTGGAAGACCCGCCTGCATCTTTTAAATCAAGCGTGTGGGATTATTTTGGGTTCCCAGTGAATTACGACGGCAATGGAGTGCGAATCGTAGATCGGACAAAGACAGTGTGTCGGCGTTGCTCGGCACCTGTAGGGTGTGTGTGTGGAAACACATCAAATATGATAACAGATCTTCGACGGCATCACCCAGATGTGAAAATAACCACCGGAGCGAGGCAAAAAAAACCCGGAGTCCAACTGCTGCTCCCGGCAGTTTTTAAACAGCCTCTAGATGCCAGTGCAGACAGAACTAAAAAAATTACAGAAGCAATTGGAATTCATATTTCATCAGCTATGCAGCCTTATGCAGTGGTAGATGACCCCGGCTTTAAGTATTTATTAAAAGTGCTCGAGCCTCGTTACAACATTCCATCCCGTGTGCACATGAGCCAGGCAGTGGTTCCTGCACTGTACCGGCATACACGAGCTGTGATCGAAAGTGAGCTGGCCGCTGCACCTGCTGTAGCGTTAACAACTGATTTATGGACCTCTCGTGCTACAGAATGCTACCTCACAGTGACCGCCCACTTTATCAGCTCTGAGTGGGAAATGAAAAATCCTGTTCTCCAAAACGCGTCCTGTTTATGAAAAGCACACTACCGCTCACCTAGCTGAGAAGCTACAAGAGACAGTAGCAGAGTGGAAATTAAAAGGGCCTACAACTACCATCGCAGTAACCACAGACAATGTGGTTGTTAATGCTATAAGTGAAGCAGGACTGGGTCCACATATAGGGTGCTTTGCCCATACTTTAAATTTAGCATCACAAAAAGCAATGGCAATCAACCAGGTATCTCGACTTCTAGGGAAAATCAGAAGAGCAATTTCTTTTTTCCATCGAAGCACAACAGCAGCTAATATTTTAGAGCTCAAGCAGGAAATGCTTCACTTGCCAAAACACTCTCATCAACGATGTGCCCACACGCTGGAACTCAAGCTATGACATGGTTGAGCGGTATCTAGAGCAGCAAACTGCTGTCTACTCCGCTCTAACAGAGCGGGCCCTCAAAAACAAGGAGATTTCCTACCTGTGTGACCAAGAGGTCAGTGTAGGGGAGAAGGTGATAGAGATTATGAAGCCATTGAAGACCATCACTACAATACTGAGCACTGAAACAACACCATCAGTTTCAATTATCCTACCCCTCAAAACAATGATCCTAAAGTCCATGGAACAAAAAGATGTTGACACTCCTACTGCCAGAGAAATCAAGCATGTCATCAGTGAAAACGTGCAAAACAGATACTCTGACCCTGGTCTTCAGGACTTTCTTCACAAGTGTACTGCTCTTGATCCAAGATTCAAGAAACTTCCTCATTTGGATCCTGCCTGTCATCAAAAAAATCTATGACAATCTCATCACAGAAATTCTGAGCAA